TTAATTATATCTGGTAGCGCCAGTTGGCCCATCATTCTTGCCCCGCTCATGTCTGTCTTATTGCCTAATATATTACCTCAAGGAACTTGGCTCTGAATTCTTTGAGGAAAAATGGACGTCAGTGGGGCCCTCTGGCTACTTCGATGCTGAAGAGGGATGGAGTTTTCTTTCACAGCCAAGAGAAACCAAGATGGTGGCATAGGTAAACACCTGAAATTGCAGCCTCGTACAACCACTTCAAAACTACAACTAAAAGACTAAAGGGACATCATCCAGAACCACAGAAAGGCTGGCTGAGTGGAAATTCTACAACTAGAAGGAAAGAGAAAAGCACACTGAGACTCAGAGGAGGTACGGAAGTAAAGTGCAGAGGTACAGAGGCACACGTGGAAAGGGCTGGCAACAGAGGACGCCGGTGTCTTTTTCAATCGGGAGGGAGACACAAGCTTCCGACTGCTCTGAACTCCACTTCTGGGCAAGTCTCTGGGGAACCTGACTCATACGGGGAGAAACTGGACTGTCTGGCATCGGGCCAAACTCGAGGGCGGCTTTCTCTCAGAGGCGCTTGCAGCAATTACCGAGGGACACTGAGACCCCGGGACTCTTAGGGCAGGGCTGAGGGCCAGCCATAGCTGTTTACTCCGCCCTGTTAATTCCCTGAGACCCCACCCTACCCAAGCTGCTAGCAGAGGCTTTTGCATATGAATGGCCTGGCCCTATGCAATCTAAAATTACCTAACAAACTGCAGCTGGGTCAGAGAGACCCAGAACATCCAAAAGAAGGCCCAAGGCCCCACAGCAGCTTGCACTGCATCGCAGCTGGGCCTCATCTGGGCACCTCCAAACCCAAATAAGGAAGAGGAATCTGCAGATCTCTCCGTAGCTCCTGCTGGGTAGCCTCAGGCAGAGGCTAAAATAGCACCTTCTTAGATCCAATTGCCAGTGTACCCAGTGGTCAAGAGTGGGACCATCCAGATTACAACTCCTCAGATCCATAAGGGACACACTCAAGGGGCAGACTCAGTGAGCACCAAAGCCCCACTGAAGCAAGTCTTGCCCCAGAAGGGTGTCTTCAGCACAGAAGTTCTCCCACTGCAGACACAGCTGAGTCTCACAGCCAATTGGCCTGGAGGTCTTTTCCTCCCAGTGATACCTACAACAATCAAGGCTTAACTACAACAAGACTGTGCATAAAGCCCACAAAGGGGGGGTGCAGCAAGAGTGTCTACCTCAGGTAATTGGGGAGGCTGAGCCACTGGGCCCTATAGGACACCTAGCACACAAAGCCACTCTCTCACCACAGGGAAGCAGCCAAAATGCGGAGACAAAGAAACATATCACAAATGACAGAAATGTAGGAAAGCAAACTACTGGATATAGAGTTCAAAACCACGGTTATAAGGTTTTTTAAGAATTTTCTAGAAACCGCTGATAAATTTAGTGAGCCCTTGAGGATATGAAAAAGGACCAAATAGAAATTAAGCATACACTGACTGAAATAAAGAATAATATACAGAGATCCAACAGCAGACTAGAGGATCTCGAGAATCAAGTCAAAGATTTGAAATCTGTAGAAGCAAAAAACATCCAACCAGAAAAGCAAAAAGAAAAAAAGAATCCAGAAATATGAAGATAGTGTAAGGAGCCTCTGGGACAACTTCAAGTGTACCAGCATCCAAATTATGGGGGTGCCAGAAGAAGAGAGAGAGCAAGATATTGAAAACCTATTTGAAGGAATAATGAGAGAAAACTTCCCCTACCTGGTGAAATACCAAACCAGTATTATATGAAATGCTAAAAGGTATTCTTTAAGAAGAGGAAGAAGAAAAAGGTAAAGATAAGAATTATGAAGAACAAATACATACCTATCAACAAGTGAATCTAAAAATGAATGAATAAAAAATCTGATGAACAGAGTAAACTGTTGAATATAATAAAATTAGGGGCATAGAAAGGGAGTGTACTGACAGTTCTCAGGGGGGAAAGGAGTGTGGGTGGTGCGGGAAGAGACTGGACAAAAATCATACACCTATGGATGAAGACGGGTTGGTAAGGGCATAGGGTGAGGTGGGAACTGGGTGGAGGGAGCCATGGGGGGAAAAAAGGGAACAACTGTAATAATCTGAACAATAAAGGTTTAATTATAAAAAAAATATCCGATATAGGATAGGTACAAATACATAATGAATTTATGAACCAGAAGATCAGATTAGAAAACTCACATAGAAGACCAAAACAACAACAACAACAACTAATTTAAAATAGAAAATATCTAAAAAAACA